TTTTTTTTTTTTTTTAATGTGTAAGCATACAAAAGGAGCAGGGTTGTTCTTTTACCCTCTGTACCTCCCATACTTGCTGCACTTCTTGATTTGCAAAGCTTGCAGAGCCAGTTTTCACCCTGTGAGTGCCTTCAGGGTGGAGTGAACAAAGCTTGCATGACTATTCATATTAGATCTGCAGAAGACTCATCCTTTGCCTCGAGATTGGGTGTGCAGGAGCCATTAAATGGCAAATAGCTCTTGCTTCCTCCAGTGCTTGATTTGCTCTGCTTATGAACTGGATTTGTGAGGATAACTCCTCACTAGGAGGATCTGATGATGTTCTGAGTGGGAATACAGGTGCACTTCAGAACAACCTGCTTAATGTGCTGGGTACTGTAGTACTGAAACTTGGTTTGTTGAGGGTTTATTGTTTTGGGTTTTTTGACCTGGGCGTCTTGCAAACAATCATGTAGAGCACAGTTAAAACCAGTAGTGCCGAACTCTGGCAATGAAAAGCTCTTAACTGAGCATCACCTAAGAATCTTGGATATTGCTATTTGTATTTCCTGTGATAGTACTCAGGAACTGGGTACTATCAGATTACCTTTATGTAAAGTATTATTTAAAAAGGTATAATCTTCTGTCTAAAGAGACTTAAATAAGAAACAGAACAAAGAGGAAAGGATCAGTGCCAGAGCACAATTGCAATGCTATTTTATGTCATCTCAGGTTAAATTGGTTGTTCAGTAAGAAAGGAGTAAAGAGACTGAGAAATGAAGGAGACAGTGGGAAGGAACAAGTGTTGAAGGGTACTTGGCAGTAGGTGAAGCAGTGGTGATGAATCTGAGGAAGTTATCTAGTTTTCTAGAAACTTCTTCCATGTTATAGAGGCCACCTCAATATAGAATATGCATTCCCTCCTGGTCCCTTTAACTTGCTGAGTGTTGCAGAAGGTGGTGCCATAGCTGCACAGCAAGATTAAGTAGTTCCTTGTTTCCCATCTTGCCTTGTTATTTGGGAGTATCATTTGCTTGTTACTTTGTTAGGAATATACAGGTGTATACTACTGCATATAGTAGCTGTAGACAACCAGGTCTGGTTGGTAGCACTTCTTAAAGTGTGAACTTGGACTATCCACATCGGTTGCCTCTTTTCAATTGCCCAGGAGAGGCATCCTTTAAATAAAAATGTACACAAACATGTGCAGTCTCCTATCCCTTCACGGAACCAGGAGTGGGTTTCGAAGAGACTATTCAATTAACAGTTTTTTCCCAAGAGTCGAGAACATCTAGTGCTTCTGTCTATGTAATCAGTCTTGTTCATTAGAATATGGGTTTTCACTTAGGAGCATGTTAATAACAGTGACTTATGTGCAGAAAACTATCCATTCTCTTCTCCAGTCTTAGCTAAAAACCTTGCTTTTAACTCATCAGAGGTGAAGGTGTGAGAGATTTCTTACTCTTGCTAATGTTTATGACTTTCTTCCTCCCTTCCCACTGTGTTTATATTAATCTAGAGTTTGGCACAACTGACTCTGTGTCTGACATCTGGTACCAACTTCCATTGGCACTAGGGTGTTTTTAGGAACTACATCTCCTCTGGATCAGTGTCTTCAGAAAACGTTTTCATTGAAGGAATGAACATGGAGCGGGGGAGTTGTTTGTTTTCCTTGTGTGATAGCCTCTCTTCAAATTCCCAGGCCCTTCACACTGCTGCATTCTCTCTCTGGCAGCTGATCGCTTGTAGAGATCTTTGGCTCTGCACAAAGGAAATATTGAAGTGTCTTTTCAGTTCTGACAACACAGTCTAACAGCCAAGTGTATGTGTGTGCACATGTGTATACATGTCCCCTGCTGGAATAGCTATTGAAACTGCTGCCTAATTTCTCTTGATTTTTGACAGAGGAAAGACATTTCCAAAATTTTAATAAAAACATGTCAGGCAAGACCAGGGTTCCAATACCTGCATCTTCAGCAGCTTGTGGTTCCCTGGGTGGACAGTAGAGACTCTGCACAAGCCCAGTGTGGAGCTGTTTGCTGCAGGGGGAAGAATGATGGGAAAAGGAGGAGAAGTACTCCTCTGCTCTGATACATAAGGTGCTCAAAAGCGTCTGTGTGGTACTGCTTAGGTACCCTCTCTGCAAGTGATTCTGTTTGTGGGTTAATTTTCTTTTCAACCCCCCTTTCCCAGAGAGGAGATGATCTCAAGTTTATAGCTTAGGAAGAGATACAACATTGAAGAAATTTTTTGTTGTCATAAATAGTGGTAATCTCTTAAACTGTGTTTTTGAGGTTGCTTAGGTTTTTTGGCTTGGTTTTTAAGACAGCTATTTAATTTTCTCAGTACTTTACCCCAAACAAGGTACCAGGAGGGAGGATAAAAGCAATGACTAGCAAACTATTTGTAGTCAAGCAGTTGCAGGGGAGGAATCACTGGTTTAAGTCTTTTTTTAAACTATGATAATGCACTTCAAATGTTCTAAGACTAAACATCATCCTCTCACTTTCTATACTCCAGTGCACACTTAAAACCAACAAAGCCTCAAAATCAAGTTAGCCTTAAGCACAGCAGCTTTCCTTTTGTTGTTATGGAAGAGGAATGCATTAATTCAGTTGAAATTATTTTTCATCTCAGAGAAAGACAATTTTAAAAAAATCTGTTTTGTAGAACTGGCTCACAGTCATCCTATGAATAATAGGTAAGACTTTATTTCACACAAAAATTTACACTGCCTCACCAGTTGAGGATTAGTCCTGTAACCTGCTGTTGGAGAGGGGCAAATATGGTGAAAAGAGGGAGAGATACTGTAATAAGCTGTTTAAAGTTGTGTGAAAAAAGATGGTATATGCAACTTAAATCAGACTCCCATTGTGAATGTGTGGGTTTTTCTTTGATCTTTCTATGGCCTGTCTTTCCAGGACAGGACACTTCCTGCTCTCTATTGCAGTCATTTCCAAAATCCTTCAGATTGAAGAAGATATGGGCTGTGGAACTGTTTTGCATCTTGGGAAAACACAGGAGTGGTGGATTCTAATAGGTTATCAAAATGCTTCTGTGTAATAGCACAAAACTTGGGTTATAACTTCTAATGGGCAAGGTTTAAACGAAGTGCCATTTGTGGATTTTGTTCAAGTGGTAAGATACTTATTCTGCTTTGGGATTTACTTGTTCAGAAAGTTCTGAAGTGACTGAAGTCACTTCCTGAAGTGACCTCACACTCCCGCAGGTGGCAGTAGTTAGAGAACAAGGCAGAGCAGCTAATATATCCCATCAGGAAAATGGATTAAATCTTCCCTTGAGAAGTGACTTTCCATCAAAGATAGCATGAAATTGTGTTATTCCAGCAGGAAGCCAATTAGAAGTCTGTTTGGTGATGATTGACTTAACTCCAGCACAAAGATTTAAATCTTGACAAGAACAGTCCAGCATTTCCCTATGGAGCCTCTCAAGTTGAAGATATGGGGAATATTATTTTAACACTAATATCTGAACCATACAGTAAGTGATTGTGGTGAACGAGTTTTCTCTGTTCCTTCTTTGGTTTTCCTGCCTGTCCTGTGTGCTGATGAAATAGGAAATAACTTACGCTGTATTTCATAGATCACCGATTTTCGGATCCAGAAAGAGTGAACTACAAATTTGAAAGTGGACCTTGGTAAGTACTTTCTCCCTCTTCTTGCTGCACATTTCAACCCCCACCACTTCCTGTTTAAAGTTACTGTTTAGGTAAGCTCTGCTTCTCTGTATTTCTAATTTTCAAATAGCTGTTACCATTATTTCTGTTTGTCTTGCCACTGCTGTGGAAATCAATTAGATCCTTTAAGTGGGAAAAGGAACACATATTCTATGATCGGATGCAAGCCAGTTTTCTTGTTAGGCTTCAGTGTTGTCTGTTAGCTGCTGATAGTTCTGGGTTCTGCTAATAAGTGCTTATAATGGGTGTTAACTGTACTGTGCTATTAACAAAGAATGTTACCAGTGTTGCAGAAGTAACCCTACTGGTTACTAAAGCTTGCACTCTTCCTACGGTTTACTCCATAGTTCCTGCATGCACATCATGATTTTTAATAGGGAAGTAACACTTTTGTAAAGATACTGGATCAGAGATACTGTGCTACCAGTCTATTGCTTAAGCTGCGATGATTATCTTATTCCCAAATATGTTTTAAACTTAAAACTTTATCTGCTTTTGACTGCTTTGTTGTTTGCTTTGTTTTTTTTTAAATGTAACTGTTCTTTCTATGTATAAATCCCGATTTTTTTCAGTGGTTTTCTGGATGCTCCCTCTGCAATATCACAGGAGATTGGTGTTAAACTGACTTTATTTATATTCCCATCTTCCACAAATATTTACTTTCCCCTTCCACGTTAAGGATCTGTCATAATGGTAGATGATGCTGATGCTTCTGAGCCAAAAGAAGCAAGAAAAAAATGCAAAAAATATTGGCACAAAGTAGCCAGAGAGATTATCTCAGGGGTTATGCTCAGCACTGTTCTAAGCTCTTTACTTTTCACTAACAAAATTGTGGGGTGAGGTGGAAGATTCCCATCTTATTTGAGATAGAAGTACAGAATTAGGAGGCAAGGGGGAACAGTTTGGGACAGACAGCTACAGAAAGGCCACCTGAGAAATTAAAATATGAGTGAGAAACATGACCCTTCTATAAAAAGGCATACCACAGGCTGTTTGTATGAGGGAGTCCTCTGCTACTGAACAGCACTTCATCTGCTTAATCAATCATATTGTCTCTTCTGTGCAAAAACCTCTTCTTGCAGTAGCCAGAAAGGGAGCCTTGGGTAGCTGTAAGCACTTTGTTGTATTCGACACTTTTAACATGTAAGAGAACAAAAGAGACTGCGGTAATGACCAATTAAACCTGGCTTTCTGTGGCTGAACTATTTCCATGCTAAGCAGCCAATGTAGCCCTTAGCTATATTAGTCCCTAATAGCATGGTGATGGCCTGAACAAGCAGTGTTACAGCTCAACTCTTGGGGCAGGAGTCTTGTGTGTGCTGAGTACGGCCAAGAACAGATTTGGTCTTGGCAGGTGACTGGCTCTTACACACTGTCCAGTACAAGTAATAAGCACTAATCTCAGTTACACTTAATTGCTCTACTTCAGTTTCCACCTATCTAGATTAGAATAGCAAGTGCTTGATTTTTATACCAGCAGCCCTGTTCAGATAATGGAGAAGCACAAATGATGTCAGGAGAGGGAAGTAAATTGGGAACATGATCAAAGAGATGACAGCTGAAAGAGCAAATGTAGTGAAGCAGGAAAAGGGAACTGGGAAAGGGGCAGCTTAACAAAGCAAACTTTCCCTAGGAGAGACTTTATCTGGGAGTGGCTTTCAGTTGTGGTGTGGCTTTGGATGGTGGTGGCACTTGAGCCTCTGCCATCCGGCAAACATGGAGCAGGGACAGAAGCCTGTCTGTGGAACACAAAAGGCAAGAAGAGAGGGTGGTGCATGGCAGATATTACAGGCAAAGGTCTCTTCCCTGTTTCTGTGCCTACAGCAGCAAGATGGAGCTTGTAGATGACAATGCTGTTATCCGAGCAAGAGGATTGCCATGGCAGTCATCTGACCAGGACATAGCAAGATTCTTCAAAGGCCTAAATATTGCCAAGTTAGTACCTAAGAATTTACCTGTACAATTGTAGTGCTTCAGCAAATAAGTCACAGAGTTTCATCTCTTTTGGTTTAAATCTTGCAGGGGAGGTGCTGCACTCTGTCTCAATGCCCAAGGTAGGAGGAATGGGGAGGCCCTTGTGAGGTTTGTCAGCGAAGAGCATAGAGATCTAGCGCTACAAAGGCACAAACATCACATGGGGAATCGATACATTGAGGTGCGTGACACTGGCTTTGAAATCCTCTTCTCAAAAGGAATGCAAATTGCATGCCAATCACATGTTCTCTTTTCTTCACTTAGGTATACAAGGCAACAGGTGAAGACTTCCTGAAAATTGCAGGAGGTAACTTTTAGGGGATGAGAAGGGATCACTAACTTCTGGCTTTAAACTGCTCCCACTGAATGTGACCTTTCACTTTCTGTCTTTGAACAAGTTGGCTGGTGTATTGATTACTATGTATTCTGCTAGCAGCAGTCAAAGATGTTCCATAATTTATCTGTCCACCTCTCTCTTCCACATTCTTGCCATTTTCAAGCAGCCTGTCAAATCAGGATTTGATTGAGCAAAGCGATCTTCTATACAAACTTAATTTTTTTTAGGTCATTGTAACTGTGGGAATCTAAATGTTATTGACTGCTGAAAAAATGAAACCAGAGTAGTTTTTCAAAGCAATATGACTGCTGTTGCTGTGGTGACTTGCACATAAAACCAAATGGATATACTGTAAATACAAAAGATTTGTGGAACCAACTTTCTTCAGATCAAATCTTTGCCTCAAACATAATGGGGAAGATTTAGGGAAAATACTTATTGGAGGGGAATATTGAAATATTTGCTGATAATTGAAAGGCAGCAAAATTTGCTCTACAAACTCTCCCTTGGTCTCTTTTTCCTCTCCTTTATGTCTGAAAGCATATGGAATTTGAATTAAGATCCAATAAGGTGTTATACCTACAATACTACCTTAAGATCCTTGTTGTTCCCTGACAGAGATTTGGTCTGGGGATTCTAAATGACTAACTGGATACCTGAGTTTGAGGTGTTGGTGTTGGAAAGGCTGTTAAGCTGTCAACTGAATAGCTACTGATAGGTTTGGTAACAGCTATACTAGCCAAAGTAAAGATATTGCACACTGGTGTTGGTGAGGAATGGTGCATGTCTGGTGCAACCAAACTTGTCAGCATGAGAGCTGTAAGAGAAAGGACTGAGTTAAGCTACGAAGTTGGTGAGCAGCTACCTTTGGATAGGGTTGTGTTTTGAGCATCCCTGGGCTTCTCGTAAAAGTACTGGAAGTAGAATTGGCAGACTTTGACAGCTCTATCAGCATAGGATGAAATTCCCAAGCTGTTTTCAACATGCCCTTCCAGCTTTCTGTCCCAGCATGATTATCTGGTACTTGGTTGCTGTATATTATGGTTTTAGTGCATGCTGAAGGTATTCCAGATTTAGAAGGGTGAAGCACACAGTAGCACAGGTACTGGTTACACTAGAGATTAAGAGACTATGCTTTCCTTGGACTTTGAACACTGCAAGTACTTATTTTACTTTCAAATAAGAAGAAATATCCTCTAAGTGATGGAGTAACATTATTATACTTTATTGGGAGGTGTCTTTTTCAATATATCTAGTTTATCAGAGGGACATCTTTCCTGACTTTTGAGGCAAATACTGTCCTACCTGCTCAAAAACTATCTGTGGGGAGGACTTAGCTATGCCAGACTTGCTCATGATTTTATAAGGCTGCCTAGACTTAAGTACTTCTGTACTTTTTCTTGTTAAAGGTACTTCCAATGAGGTTGCGCAGTTCTTGTCAAAAGAAAACCAAGTGATCGTCAGGATGCGAGGTCTTCCTTTCAATGTAACAACAGAAGAAGTGCTGACTTTCTTTGGCCAACACTGCCCTGTAACAGGAGGGAAGGAGGGAGTCCTGTTTGTCACATACCCTGACAGTAGGCCGACAGGGGATGCCTTTGTCTTGTTTGCTTGTGAGGAATATGCACAAAATGCACTGAAAAAGCATAAGGACTTGCTGGGGAAAAGGTACATTGAACTCTTCAGAAGCACTGCAGCAGAAGTTCAGCAGGTGGGTGCAAACTTTGCGAACATTGGCTTCTTGTAATCCAAACTTCCATGCTGGCAGCAGTGGAAGCAAATACTACTTGGCCATGAGTTGACAGCTTCTTTTATCTTTGCTCACTCTTGACTCTTGCTGGAATGAGTACTGTCTGAATTTCTATGAGGCTCTGCTCCCTCAAAAATGTAAGACTATGGTATATGGATGTTCTCAATTATTTATACTAACCCTTAGGGTTTTGGCTCCCAATAGCTTTGCAGGAAGTTAATGTGAGTCTAGTGCTTTACACTACAGATACTGAAGTTTAGAAAGTCCAATGATGATCTTATTCAGAAGGAGTGTTAGCAACAAATCTTGATCTAAAAGACTTTAGTCACTGACCCAGAAAAGCAGAGTCTTTGATATAGTTGTCCTCTTCAGAGCAATGTATTTGAAGAATCTTACAAACTGCCTCTAAGGGCAGATCTCTGCCATCTTCTGCCAGCACAGGCTGCCTAGAGGGTGGTACAACTTTTGTGAAACTGGGCCTGAAGAGTCTGGTGTTAACAGGGTTTGGTGCATTATTAATCGCAGTTATGCTGTCAGGGAAAGAAGTAGGGCTGAGAGGATTGTTTAACTCTCCAAAGAGTTATAGAGCTTCATTTGAGGCCATTAACTTCTAAATATGATTCTACAAGGTGTCATCTATGATGCAAATTATAACCATATCATTGTAACTAAGAAATGATGCAGCTTTGTTCTCCCAAATATGTAGAGATTTCAGTGCCATGTTTAAAAGGTGCCAGTAACGATAAGGCAGAGCTGCAACGCTCGCTCTTGTCATTGTATTTTTCTCAAGTGGTCTCATATGTTTCTTTTAGTAAAGCCTTCTGGTAGCTGTATAAATGCAAATAAATCTTTATTTTGCTTAGAGTTCAAGAGTAATGATTGAGTATTCAGAGACCTCTTCAGCAGACAGGGTTTTAACTGTTAAAATTATTAATAGGAAATCTCAAAGCGTGACTGTCACAGATACTGTCATTCAGCAACGCCACCTGTTACTTGAATGGACTATTGCATCCCAAATCAGGTGTTTGGTAGTGAAATATGCTTCTAGTTCCCAGATTCTCCTAAAGTCTTGAAGAGATGTATTTGGGTGAAAGTGTCACCGTGACTCTGTAGATGGTAGGATGTCTTAGGACACTTTCACAATAAAAATACTGTAGGAATAATGTAGAAATGCAGGTTTTGTTCTGAGATCTCTTCTGAGAGTTACACTAACAGTTCAAGTAAATTCTTGAAAACGAAATTGTTTTTCAAGAAAAAATTCATTTTAAAACATCTGAATTTTAAGCACTGCTGTTGTAGTTTCAACTCAGAATCTAACTCACTTGTTTCTTAAAATACTGCAGTGAAAACAGTGAGTGAAAACAAATGGCACTGGGTTTATGTTCTGTCCAAGTTGAAGAATGAGTAAGGAGGCTTCCTGTAACCTCTGTTTTTGTTTGCACAGGTGCTGAACAGGTACTCTTCCACACCTCTCATTCCTCTTCCAACACCTCCTATTCTTCCAGTATTACCTCAACAGTTTGTGCCTCCCACTAACATCAGAGACTGCATACGTTTGCGTGGTCTTCCCTATGCTGCTACTATAGAGGACATCCTGGAGTTCTTGGGAGAGTTTTCCACAGATATTCGGACCCATGGAGTTCACATGGTGCTGAACCACCAGGTTGGTAGGCGACATAGTTCCAGACATCTGCCAAATGCCTGTATGTGTGAACACAATCCTTCTGAGGATATCAGTAGGGAAACACCATTGGGATTGGTATTAATGGGCCTCCAGCTCTCCTCTAAAGGTGTACTGGCAACACATGATTTGAAAGCCTGCTGTGTAAGCTGCTGCATTCGCTGTAGAGTGGTTTCTGTTACTGAGACCCATGTGCTGAAAGCTAAGCCACAGTCTTGGAGGGGTTGTTGCTCTCAGAGCAGCAGCTGTGATCCTGCACTGTAGGAGGCTTGAACTGAAGAGTCTTGCTCAACAGCATGCATGATTCCTCTTGTGCCAAGAAAGGAGTGCCTTCCAAACAGAAGTGTGGGCAAATGTTAGTTCTCAAAGGAGTGGTTTGCCCCTGCCTTGCTGAACAATGTGCATCAGGTATATTTGAGGACAAATGGGGCTGCAGCCTTCTTGGGGCAGTATTTCCTATGGCATGAATCAGAAGCTGAAGCTTTGGGACTTCCTGTTCTGTGTTGTTGCTCTCTTTAAGCAGTCACAGCTAAGAACCAAGAATTAGCAGCTCATTGAAGTATGAAATGCCACTGTTTTCTGGAAGAAGTTTCTTACCAGAACTTTTTAGACAAAGGATTGTGCATTCTTGTGATCTTTATCTTTGTATTCTTGTGACTTTAGGAGGAGGAGTTGGCAGCCTCTTTATCTCTGTGGAGATGCTCTGAGTAGTTCAACTGATAACCAGTTAAACTGATTATTTTGGTATAAAAATGGTGATTCTAAAATTCTTTCAGCTTAGTGTCATCCAAAATTACAAAATACTTCCTTGTTCCAGAGCAGGGCTCTTACGTGTTTCAGGAGTATGGGGAGGGAGAAGGGACTACAGTTATTTCTTCAGTACCTCTCTATCTAAGGAGATTCTTGTGTCTGTGAGGACTTGACCTAGCCAAGGCTGAAAAACAATAACGAATGTGCACTGCTGGGAGAGGCTAAGAAATGATGCAGATGTTAAAGTGCAAGTAATGATTTACTGTAGTATCAGTCCTTGCCAGCAGTAATGAAAGAACCTGGATGAAGAAATTGGTGTGTGCATATAGTCTCAAGGGCTGTCTGCAACCCTTGCCCTGCCCAAAGCTGTCCGAATTTTTTTTTCCCAGATACTGCTTTTGCCTGACTAGATTTGTATCTTTCTCCATGCACCTGCCATTTCTGGTTTAACCCTCTAATCATGAACGACTGTACAAAAGATGGTGATAAAGTTTTTCTTCCCTCCAAAACAAGAAGAACTGACCTAGAACTTAAGTTACAGCTGGCTTCAGGTTTCTACCTCTAGTTTTGGCTGCTTCGAGTCTGCAGCTGCGTGTGGCTAAAACAACTCCTCCCAGTGGTGGATCCCACTCACAGCTACATATATAAAGTACTGTTTTGTTTTGTTTTTTTTTTTCCTCTACAACAAGCTCATACCAAGCCTTATGCTAGTTAGTACCCTTGTGAAACATCCTTGTAAAACAAACAAACAAAAAAAGCCCATATTGGTCTTCACAAAATGAAATTTAAAAAAAAAAAAAAATCACTTAATATTTGGCACTTGACTGTATTTATCCTTGGATTTTAAAAGTCATGAGTGGGGATTAGGTCTTCCAGTTCTGCAGTCTTCCTGGATTGTGAAGAGCAGGTCTCAAAGCACCAAAGTACTCCTGAATTACAGTCTTCCTATAGGAGTTTTTTTCTTTAAACATAGAAACAACATGGCTCAGGTTATACTGTAGCTTAATCAAAATAGATGAATAAATACAATCAAGTTATCACAAGTGGGAAAAACCTTGGGGGGAACTTAACCATGCTCATGGGTGCTCAGGTTGACTGACTATACTTGACTTTAGAAATAAATATATTTATGACTAAAGAGACTGCTTTTAACAGCACAAATTATTATGCTGCTTCTTCATCGGAGCTCCTGAAACACATTTTTTGTCTGCCTTGTTTGTAGGGGCGTCCATCAGGAGATGCTTTTATTCAGATGAAATCTGCAGATAGAGCTTTCCTGGCTGCACAGAAGTGTCATAAGAAGACTATGAAGGACAGATATGTTGAAGTCTTTCAATGTTCTGCTGAGGAGATGAACTTTGTATTAATGGGGGGCACTTTAAATCGAAATGGCTTGTCCCCACCACCATGTAAGTTACCATGTAAGTTTTGCTTGGGTCTTGTCAATACTCTACACTGTGTGCGGGTAGGTGTTGGAGCTGCTCTGTTGACTCTGATTCTGGTTCCTGGAAAGGATTGTCAGATGGGGGTATTAAAATGAGGTCTTTTTGTCTTAAATCAGCAGCAGCTTGCAATCATTATTTTTCCCTTGGGTGGTAAATTATTATGACTGGAGAACTACTTTTGCTCTTCCATTGGCAGCTTTTCCTCCCCCTGTGAAACTTAATATCGTTGGGGTGAGTGACTCTGAAAAGTAACTTGTAAGCCCTGATGAGACCTTAAAGAATTGTTTCCCATTTAAACTGATTTTCATTTATGTTTTTCATCGTGGCGAACATGTCAAGTAAAAGTCCTTCCCCTTTTCCTTCCAAAACTTATGAGTAGGTAATACTCCCCTTTGGGACTTAATCACAACTGTTCTGCCTTTTGAACCACTACCAACTAAACTCTTCCTTTCCTTTTTGTTGTTTGTATGGAATTGAGGTTCCCTGTGTTGGGAGTAAAATACACTGGCTTTGGCCTCAGAGAATTGCAGAAACTGTATTTCCTTTTAAATTTTGCTTCTCAGAGCTGCTTGGATGAACATGGGCTTCAAGACATGTTTAGGAGAAATGCTTTAATAGCTTAAGGGCAAACTTACTAAGCTTATGTACCACATACATCCGAGCCTATGGGAAAAATAATACTTTGCTTCCAAAATCATAAATGGCAAGGTAGTCAAGTAGGAGCTTTCTCTTTCTCTCTATGCAAATATATTATTGGTGGTGGACTTTTTAAGAAATGTCCTCTAAACCCTAATCGGAGCTGCCAGTATGGCCACAAACTTCTTGAGAGTGGCTTCCTGTGAGTACAAGTAGACCTTCAGCTAATCCTTTAGAGATTTTTATTTTTTTTTCCCAGTGTAAGTATTCTGAGCAGGGATCAGCAGTATGTAGTCCTATGTGTGACAACTGTTCTAAACAGGGGTTGGAATGCTCTGAGCTCCTAGGACAGGTTCTTGGGCAGAGTCCCAAACTTCAGGTGGCAGTGTTCCCATTTCCAACTACAAATGCCTGCGATGTATTCCTCAGATAAAGCTTTTTGGCTCTGTCACCGCCCCATTTCACAATATTTGCTGTCATTTTAACTCTGAATAGCAAAAATAAAGGCTTACTTTATTTAAAGCTTTTATATGTTCACCTTAATGACACTGGGGAGGAGAAGAGGGAAGCAAAAGAAGAAAATGACAAAGGAAGAGGGTGAGCTCTCATCAGTGAGAATTCATTTAGGGCCTTACATCTTGTTGGAACACCACAAAGTGCCCTTTGAGGTCTTTTTAAAGCTTGGTGTTAATACCTGAAGCTGCAAAGCCATGGGTTTGCTTGATCTGCTGTTAATTGAAGGCAGAATGTTTGAGGGATAGAGAATATCTGGATATTAAAAAAAAAGTTTCCTCTCTCCTGGAGGATGTTAGACAGATCTTTATCATGGAAGCTTCTTTCTTACACTGGAGAAGTCTCATACTTCTTGATTGCAGACTTCATTAAAATCTGAACCTGAATAAAAAAAAATTGGCCTGCTCTTCAGAAAGATACCCTATTTTCAGAGCAAGAGGTGGCTTTTAGTGTATTCCCGACTTTGCTTCTTGACTGAGAGGTGAACACAACACTTGTGGTCAAGCCATGTTGGTGGCTCAGATTTATTTTCTGTGATGAGTAAGGGAATGAGAAGCTTGTGAGGGCTCTTAATGTACTACAGGATTGTTGGGTATGTATGGTCTTTGTTATCTCTGGAATTCAAGAGTTCCTAATCTATTTTCCATTTGTTCCCTTTAGGCCTTTCACCCCCTTCCTACTCCTTTCCAGCTCCTGCTGCAGTTGTGCCAACAGAAGCTGCTCTGTATCAACCATCCATGCTCCTGAACCCACGAACACTCCAGCCCTCCACAGCCTACTACCCTGCTGGGGCTCAGCTCTTCATGAACTACACAACATATTACCCCAGGTAAAGCAGAGGAGAAACCAAGCAGGAACAAAGAAGTCTTTTTTTGCAGCAAATGCACAAAGCTCACAAAAGAACATTGTCTGCTCTGCTCAAGGCTTGTGTTACCAAGAACAACTTGTTCGGTATCTTGTTCAGGGAAAAAATTTAAGGATATCAACAGATTTTCCAAGTTTTAGAGTATTTCAGGTAACCATAGTTTTTTGGGGGTTGGTTTGTTTATTGTCTGCTTTTGGTTGTTTGTTTTTTTGCCTTTTTTTTTTTTTTAAACATAGGTCACACATTTAAAAGGGACACTTTTGATTCTTTTTTTCCGTTCTACTTAATATGCCTCTTAAGCTTGTTAGTTTGCATAGTTATGCCCTCAGTGGGAACTGATGTCTGCAGTATTCCTTCCCATGTCTGTAAAGAAGCCCTTGGCCCCTCTTTAGAACGGGTAGATGTGGGTCTGCCCTAAAAACTTCTGAAATTCTGCCTGTTTTTGGTTTTTTAACAAAGTAACTTCTGACCTTTATGGTGAAAACTGTTTACTTCTATAAATAAGTATTGCATTGAAGCATATCTGTATTGAATGCATATGTAAAGCATATAGAGGCATATATTCTTCCTGACCTCAAACACCTCTTACAAAGAGCTTTTGGCTCTTCTGGATATATTAACTGTTTTCAACAGAACAAAAACTCTGGATAGCATTTGCTCTCTGCAGTCATGAGGCATTGGAAAGAGCCATGTTCCCTATAAACCATAAACCATTCATCATCTGTCAGGGAACCTATTAAAGAGCTCAAGGGTTTTTTTGTCTCTGGAGAAGGGTCTGAATAGCTACTTAGGTAGTTGTTAAGCAATATGGACTCTCCTGTACCTGTAAGATAACAAAGATTTTCTTATTACTTTACACTAAACTAATATGTCTGTGAGCTGCCTATTGTTGTTTTGCTATTAAAATGTTTTCTTCACTCATTGGTAATTTCTATAATGTCTTCAATAACTGTCTTATGGTTATGATAATGTGTTACCAAACTCAGCCTCATTAATGTAAGATTAAGAAAAATAAAATTCCAAACTTGCACTGGCAATGTAAACCAAGTTTCTCAATAACAGTTCTATGTGTCATGAAAATGTAATAATAATAATAATAGTTTGTTGTAACTTTGACATGTTTTACTTCTTAATAAGACTGGCCACTGCAAGCTTAGTGTCAGGCCCCACACGGATCTCTCACTGAATGGGGTCCCACGAGAGTCCCATTGCTGGCTGCTTGAGCTATGGGCATATATGTTGGTTACAGACTGATCAGCCCCAAGGCCCTAAAAATCTTTTCTCTATTTGTGTCTAACTGATAGTTGTTCACTGTTCTTAAGAAACCATTCTTACATAGCTTCTGTTCCAATTACAAGTACCTCCATTTCAAAGAAAATATGAAAAAAATTCTGGATTCGACTTCTTTCTGTGTTGTGAGATTCAGTGTTTGACTACTGCTTTTCTATCCAGAGTAAATGTTTGATCTACAGACAAATTGTATATACTCCAGTAGATGTAGTGCTCCTTTGTTGCTGACGTTTTGGGCTATTTTTTTCTAAAAAATGGAGTTTTGTTACTTTTTAGACAAGTTTCTTTGCTTTGTAAAGGATACAGTAGTAACTGGATCCCTTTGAGGCAGCAATCAGAACTCTCTCGAAAATGTGGTCTTCTGGTTCTGAAATCTAATTCCAAAGTATGTTAAGTATGTGCTGCAGGAAGGAATAGGGTATCCTCTGTACTAAGTGGTGCATTTAAATGCATGTACATGGAAAAGCAATAGAGCTGGTGGCTAATGATCAGACAATGGTTCATAAATCTAACTAGTGAATACTTGTGGAAATAAGGAAAGTTTCTTTGACCTGCTGCCAAAAGGTTCTACCACTTGTGTTTTGCAAGGTCAAGTTGCTTTATAATAATCCGATTCCCTTTTCCACACAATCAGTGTAGAGGCAGGCATTGTTTTGGTCTTCAGTATCTATCAGAAATCCTGAAACTCCCAGACTCATCTTAACGATAAGTCTTATTCTCATCTTAATGCTCTTGTAGCTTTTGGTGATGAAACCCAATGATGTAAAGAAATGGATACCTTCTAAGCTATTAAAATAGCTTTAGTGAATTCCTAATGAAAAGGAGGGAGAGCAAGTTATTCGGGATCTGTCAGTCTTTGATATCTCTCTTCAGCTTGTAATTATATCTGGCAACATGCTCTGACAGCAAATCAGTGGTCTCATTCGCTGTCTAGTCCCAGGCTTTTAAGAAAGAACAATAAGATTCATGGGAGGGAGGAGTTTTTCTTTATCTAATCCTGAATGACTGTACTAGGTGCTGTATGTACATTGAAAGTAATGAATAACTGCTCTACTTGGCAATTGCTAACATGTTCTGCAGAAACTTTTTACCATATACAAACTTGAAAGCTAATGCTACAGGGTATGCAGTTTTAAAACAAAGATGAGTCTTACTGTATCTGTTGAGTTCTATGCCATTTTTTTCACTTTCAAGCATTACCTTTAAAACCTCAAAAGTATCTGTCAATCTGTACATCTAGTAGTAAATTTATAATTTGTACTTTTTTAACAGTATTTTAAATAGTGCAGTGGAAGAGAAGCTTCTTACTCTGTGGGTAGTGTGCTTGTAGAACTCATAGCCAAAACATGGTGTGGAAGCTGAAGACTGATGTGGGTTCAAACAAACTGGATAAATTCCATGGCAGGAAAATTCATTGTGAGTTAGTGAATACAATGAAACCACACCTGGCTCAGGAAGTCCTTGAACTGAAAATAACTAGAAAAGTGTTCTTCTGTTCTGTGTCCTATGGTAAATTCTTGTGCTGTTGAACTGGGGTGTGTAAGAGAACTTGTTTGTTCCCACCTTTTCTAGTGCTTTTCTTGAGATACAGGCACTGCTTGAGAGTGTGGGCCTGTTCCAGTGTGTTTAGTGCTGTATTCAGTTGTGCTGATCTAATAGTGGCTAGGTTTGGGTTATCTCCCTGTTGTGCCAGTGTGGATACGGTTCTTTTTATTGGAGTGGTTTGAATTAAAAGGTCTTTTTATGCAATAAAGTTATGATTATGATACTTCCTGCACAAGGAAGTACAGGGTAATCTCTTAGTGTTCTCATCTGTCTGCTTCCGTCTCTTCCTGCTATGGATTAGGTGTGGTTTTTCTCATTATACACTAATCAACTTGTATATACATGTGCAACATACATATAATGTTAATATTTATGTATGCAGACCTACAGAAGTATGGGTGTATAAAAGTGAAACAACTAAGGTTAGAAAAAACTCATTTGTTCTCTCATGGATCAGATCCTCTGTAATGACCATCATGGAAAACAAGTGAGGGTTTTTTCTACCTTGGTCATTGCTCAGACCTGTATTGAAGCACAAATAAGTTACATAGAGTTTAAAACTGGCAAAGCTAGAAACAAGTAGGCTGGATCACAGCAATACTAGTCAGAGCTGCTGCCAGCAGCTTTGTTTGTGTATCTCTGTCTGGCTAACCAGCATCACTTGACAGAACTGGGTTAGGAAACAACCATATGTGTATTTAGCCTGGGAGCTTTGTCACAGATGGAGAACAGCAGCAGCCAGAAACAAAACCTCGTCATCAGCTTAGTTGTACTCACAGCATCATAGCAACACTCGGAACCACAGCTCTTAGACTCTTTGCACTCTTTTGTATTATTATTATTATTATTATTATTGTACTAAGTGTGTCAGCTTGGATTGCATGAGATCACGTCTGCAGTGAATGGGCTCATAAAAGTCTACTGGAGGCTTTCAGTTGCCATCCAGTAAATGGAGTTCATGTGCTTACATCAAGCGGCAGAATCTGGGACTCTTCATTACCTATCCTTGCTCATATTGGTTTCCATCATGAATTTGTCAAAATAACTTCAACTCTTTAGTTAATGGCACAAACTTGTCACTGGAACGATTTCTTGGGTGGGACACTTAATGATTCACTTTTGTAAATGAATGTAGCTTGCCAGGAATTAGAACAGCAGGATGCCTTGAACTGCTACTGTGTTTTGTTGGAGGAGCAGTGCATTAACAGGGAAGATTAATTGTCGCATGCCTTTGTAGGCTGTCATTATCCCTTCATTTGTAGGTTTTAATTAGTACAATTACCATGGTGTCTGAAAAGCAGCAGAAAGGTAATGTTCTGATCAATAGTTATCTGTATATCAGGATAGTAAAATTATTTAAATGAAAAAACAAAATGAACTCCACCTTCCTTCAAAATTGGGAAGCCTATAAAAATGTTCCTGCTGGTAGCAGTGTCCAAGACTTACTCAACCCACCATACAAAAGGGCACCGTGGATTCTTCCTTTTGTTTGTGTAACATACTGAATGACTTGACTTTCAGCTAGCAGCTCTCACTGTTGTCTTTTGACTTTTCCTTTGCTAGGTGGTAAAACATTTGGATTAGTCTGAGGGATTAATTGGTGTTACAACATCGCTCAAGCTTGCTGCAGAGACCAGTTTGAGTGTAGTTTTTCCTTTTGCTTATTTACAACACAGTTCACTGGTGGGAGAGATCTGCCTGTTGTGCCTCAAGGCATGTGTGTCATCCATGCAGGTGGCTCTCTTAAACATTACAGCCATCTCAGGTTATTCAGGGCACAAAGATGTATTGGATGCTTCTCTTTACTCAGAAGCAGCCTCCTCTGGGGTGTGTTAGAAGTCCCAACACTACCCAGGGCAGATCTTTTCAGTCTTCTGTGGCAGAGTTTCTGGCTCCATTCCTACTGCTTCTTGTTGTCATGCTACCATCAATTTACATAGTTGGGAAGATGATTGCTGTAGTCAGATGGAGTGGGCAGCAGATTATCTGGTTAAATGTGGGGAAGGAGCTTTTGGTGTTTCCAGGGGTAGAGTTGAGTTGGTCTTAGAATAAGGCTTCTTAGACCTGAAAGCTTTTATTTAGACTTCCTTGTTGAGAACAGAGTCTGTGATATTTGTCCATGATTAAACAGCAGCCATGGGGATCTAAATGTTTCTCTTTGATTAACAGGTGACCTGATGGTTTAGTGCTCATACTCCTGGTATTTGTCAAGTTTCAAGGCCTTTCTTTCTTTAAATGGATAAACATTTCAGTCTTAGAAAAGGAAAATTATTCTGGTTATGCAAATACTTTTGCTAATAGCATGTCTTGTTAGTTTTTGGTAACAAAGTACCGTGTTAAAACTTTCAACTTTGGTAATTATACTACAGAATTTACAAACTTTCCTTCTCTCAAACTTTTGTATGAACCACTTCTAAAAAAGCTTTATAGTGAAGCTGCATTTCTTCCTGCTCTTGGGCTGCTTTCCAGCAATGAACATTATAGGTGTTGTGCTGCAAGCTTGTGTATATGTGCACATTGTACCCATGTCCTGTGCCAGCCGAAGGAGTAGTTGAAAATCCTTTGCAGTCTCTGAAAAAATCTGCTGTTCACTGGAGTTTGGACTGATCTGTCAAAACGGGTGATGTGCACCCATTGCTTTTTCTGGTCCTTCTGCTGACTTCAGTCAGAGCATCTGACTTTGGGGTGCTGCAGAGCTGCTTAGGGTCTGCTGAGCTTCCTAGACCTCACAAAGGAGGGGATAATTTCATCTTGAAATGCTAGTGGATGAGTTTGACAAGTTTTGTTTCCCTACTAGTGTTCTTCTGCATATTGCAATAAGACCAATCTGCAACACAGGACCTGTCTTAGAGTCCTGAAATTAATAGAAGCTGCCAATCAGTAGCCTGAGAAAAGGTTATCTTCAGTATCTGTTGTCACAAAGCAGGACTGCAGAGAACAAAGTCATAGGAAAAATGGGGATTGAAAATCTGCAGGGAGAGAAATAAAACCTCTAGATGGTGTCTATGCACATATCTGTTCCTATGTGCAAATAGTGCTGAATATGTCTGTGGTTCTGTTGATTGACCTGCAGGATACTTGGCAGAGATCTGAAAACCTGCTTGGCTGTGTGTGTTGACTACTCCCAACTCACACCCACTTGTAATATAAACCACAGCTTCCTTCTGGATATTTGTATCTGTTAAGCAAATGTATAATGGAAAAATGTTAGGAAATCAGGGGAGACGGTGATCCTCAATGTTTCCACATACCTAAGTGATGAATGATTGGGATCCCTTTAAGGGTATAAATGCTACTGGAATGACAACATCAACCTTTAGAAGATGAGAAAACTTTTCCTTGCATCCAAAAAAAGGAGGGGAAGAAAACTGAAAGGGAAGCACTCTTGCCCCAGCAAAGCTGAGGGGAAAGCATATGGAGGCACAGCAGCAGGGCCAAGTGGCCGAGATGATGGGAAAGCTGTTCTCTGGGACACCAGAGGAAGGTGTCAGGGCCACTACTGCAAATTCTTGTGGCCTGTCTCTCAGCAAAGGCCAGGGAGGCAGAGGAACTTCAGTTTAACAGTGATACCTTCCAAAGACAAGGGCTGTATCTGTGTTTCAAAAGGAAGGCAATATTGCCCAAGGAGTCTGTCTCATTGCTTTCTGGTGCTTTGTTTGATTGTGGATTTTGGTTGGTTTTGGAGTTTTTTGATTGCGTTTTTGTTTGGTGGTTTTTTTTGGTGGGGGTGGTGTTTGGTTTTTTGGACAAGATAATTCTGTATTGCCTTACTAAATTAGCTCCCTTTGGAAAGCTGCATCATGGTCTACTTTGGGGGCTGGGCTTTTTATCCACACTAATAAGAACTCTGCAAAGAAAGCTGGAAAAAGGTCTCTTTCCTTGTTCTTCCTGTTAGTTTTGGAAGTAATGGGGTTGTTCTCATAAAGATTCTAGAAAAACATAAATTATTCTACATCTTAAGTTCTCTTATGGTTTTCTGTTACCTCAGATGCACGAGTTATCCTTTCTGGTAGCCTCAGCTGCCTGGCCAAAAAGACCAATGTTAATGACACTCTTTTTATAAAGGTGTGCAGGTGAAAATAGGCTGGAGGGATGCGTCTTGCTCACTGAATCCAAGAGCGAAATAATTTTTTTTTATTAAATGTTATAAATATATACAAGCATCTGGCAGTAGATGGATACTCCTGTGGATTGCATGACATTTTAGCAAAAGGAGGATATTTTCTGGAGCTGCCAATTCAAAACAAAACAGTTAAGTAGCTACAGATTTGTGGCAATTTGAACAGGGCTATGAAAGACCTGGCAAAGAATATCAAAGCTTCTGTAATCTACAAATTGAGTATTTTGGGCATAAGAAAATAATTTAGATTACTCCTGAATAAATTATATTACTGTGGCATTAATATTGCTTTAAAGCAAGAAAAGCATGTATCTTCATGGCACTGACCTTTAATATCCCACAGTTGCCAGTGACCACAAAAGATACTGTGTCTAAAAAGTCCATGAAACAGAAGTAAATGGAAGCAAATACTGCCTTGGTGGCAGCTCTGGAGAGTTCCTTCCTCAGGTATATTTGGCACACAGGTAATAGAGATCTTTGACCTGGATCTGACACCCAAACTGTGGATGGACGTATCTGCCGTGGGTTCACATCCTTACTCTATAGCTACCTACAAAAAAAAAAGGGGGGGGGTGGGGGGTGGAGACAGCATGTGATAGCAGTTATTTTCAGCCTCACTAGTGTCATAAGGTGACCCCTGGATCTTGTGTTTAAGAAACTGAGTAGTACATAGGTATATTGACTGTGGTAGTATTTTTTTAGGGATTAGTGTGGCTATTAATATCATGGAAAAGGCATGCAGGAAACCATTAGTGAGATGTGTTGTGATAAGTTTGTATGAAAATGCTACTCTACAGCATAAAACCTTCCTACAGCTGTTTTTCTGACAATAGGCTCAAAATTGATAGAAATGATTTCAAGTGTTGTCCTTGGCATCAGACTGTCTCTGCTGTTGAGTGAAGAATTATTCACAGAGGTACCCAAGAACATAAAACTGTAGAGATAAACAAACATTAGCAGTTCCTACAGAAAATGGAAAAAGCAACTCTCTTAGACTTGGATAGTTGTCCACTGTAGAAGCAGCAGTGTTAAACTTCATTGAATTTCGTTTGCTTCACGAAACCCCTTGAAAAGGTTTGCTTGAGGAAAAGCCACAAACACGTTTATGTTGTGTCCAGGAAGGGCTTTGTCTGCTGGATTTGTTTGACATTTGCTGTGACTAAGCTCTACCTTTCTATAATGTGCTCCATGAAGATGACCCAGAACTTTGCAACTAGTGGGAACTTAGGGCGAGACTGAAAACTGGTGAGAACACATGTTGGAGGCAAATGCAGCTACTGCAGAGGTACTCAAGAAGATTAACTTAGAGAGATGGAATACAGGCTAACACTGTAGGTCTCATGGGGAGGGAGGGAGGGAGGACTCCCCCACAAGGCATCTTGGGGCAGTAGCCTTTGGGCTAAAGTTAGTTTTCATAAATATCACTTTGGCTAAGGATTTAAACACAAATATAAGCAAGCAAAGGGAAGTCTGATAGTGCCCAGCAGAAACTTTCTCATGATATTTTCATAGCCTTGAGTTTGGAGAACAGAAGTGGAGGCAGTCTGGGAACTACCTTTCTAGTGTAAGTTTGGAGAGCTTATCCTAGATTTAAGGAATAGCATGAAAATGGTGATGGCAAGGGGTAGGTGCTTGAAGCCATGCTCAGGAGATACAGCAAAATTATCAAGGTGGCTTCAAGCAAGAAGTATGGGCTCTTTGGGGAATGAGTTTGTTTCATTATTTTAACTTTCATCTCAAATTTGTATAATAAGTAGGAGTAGCCAGTGGCATCCTTCAGTATTAGGACAACTTCAGGGATAAGTGATCTATGCAAATCTTCCAAGTAGTGAACTCGTTAACTTTTCCCTTAGAGACTATGAGAATGCGTGTGGCTGTGCAGGCGGTGTGTTTATCTCTGATCTCCAGGGACACTCTCTTGAGACCAGTCAGTTGTGACTACCAGAGTCTGGAGGCAGTGGTCTTCAACAAAATACTGTGTGTACCCTTGTGCTGTGCTGTTAGAGGAGGCTGATTACCCCAGCGTGATTTCTGTTGTTGAATTGCTCTTGATGCCATGGTGATGGGAGCATTATGAATGTCTAATTGTGGCCTGAACTTTGATATCTGCCCAGGGCTTTAAGAAAGGTTAAGGTTGCATAGCCAGCTGCTGGCTCCCTTCTGCGCTAGTTTGGCTTCTGATTGCTTCTATCTTGACTTGTGTTTGTAGTATGCAGCAGAGGATGGACTTGTACACACAAATGATCCGGCCAGGACAGTGTTCAAAGAATGGATTTGCATTTAAAGGCCCCAGCAGTTAGACTTCCTTAGAGAAGGTAAGGATAATGAACCCCAGGAGATGGGGTTTGGGGTCATCGTAGTGTTTGCTTCAGATAACCACCATATTCAACATAACTCTTTGATTGCTGCTCTGGGAACACGGCTAGTCTTTCCTATTTCCAGAATGTCATGCTGCAATCCATGAAGCCTTGGCTGTTAAAGCCATCATTTAAAAGATTTTGACTACCCCAGTCATCCTAAGGGTTGCTACTTTGCATGTTCCCCAGGGCTTCAAATGCATGCTACTTCAGGCTTTAATACCAGTACTGAGAGAGATCCTCAGAGACAGTTTCCTCTGTGGAACAAAGTGCAGAGATTATGTTACTTCTTCTAGGAATGCACTAGGATGTAGTATTGATTAGGCAGAATGAGCTACTTTCTTAGGTAACTACAGAATCTGACTTCTAAGCCTCATGCTGATGTAAACTGTGTTTGTGTAACAGCAGCTACTCTCTTGCCTTTGTGAGCTTTCTGATCAGGCCACTTGAGCCTTTCAAGCTTGGTTTGCTTGATCTTCTGTATAGGACCAGTCAAAGGGTGAAGTCATCCAGAAAGCATTTGTGCAGAAAAATGCAAGTTGAACAGCAAAGCAGTGTATTGGTGGCTGCACCAGGTGCTTTATCATGTGCTGTAGTCTCAGAGGAAGGTATAGAAATGTATTTATGTGAAATGCTCCTGTGATCTCTAGTTTTTTAAAAATATATAGTCAAAGAAGTAACAAGATTTATGTCTTTTTCTTTCCTCTGTTCCATTCTTCAGCTTCCCCTTAGTCCCATGTTTTGTTGTTCTGCTTTTGACACAAAGGTAACTTAGCACAGGGTGTAATCTACTTCTGGGCAAAATCTTTACCTGCAGCATCACCTCACTGTCATCTGCTCAGAGTGTGCTGCTTTTGCACGTGCTTTGCAGAAGTGACCATCTCAGGTAGTTGGCTAACAAGCTGGCTTTTGTCTGGGTTGACAAAGCTGAACCCCATCTCTATAACTGACAGTCTGAGGCCGTAATTAGGTGCTCATTATCATCCTGGCCTAAACCACGCTACAGAGCTTCCCACCCCACAGCTGTTGGTCTGTGGTGAGTGTTGGCATGCAGTGACTAGGCTGGGGAGCTGATCTAGCTGGAAGAACCCATGGGGGTTGTCTCTTAATCTGTTTTCAGCCAGTTTACAGCTTAGCTGTGTGAGTACCTATGTTGGCCCAGAGATGGGAAGGTAGAAGTGAACAAAGCAGGCACTGAGGGGTAGTAATGGCATTGCCATGTTGGAGTTGATTGTAAAACTTCACCTTGAGAGGTAAAAGGTCATGTGAAAATTGCATCAATTCTGGCATATTCCTAGTGAAGCGCTGTTATCTTAATAGACAACGTCACTGAAATCCTGTGTGTGTAAGGTGAAAACTAAACCTTTTGGTTCTTCAGTAAATATTTGATATTTTGGAAATCAAAAAATTAATATTTGCTTTTATCATGGTGTTCGGTGACCTGCACAACTCTTTCACGCAGATTCTTCCACCCTTTCTGATGTTTTGAACAAACAAAGCGAGCATAGATGGAGATTATCATTGCATTCCCAGTTTTACCACTTCTCAATCCAGTTGTGCTCAAGACAAAAAAATCACCAGAACTATGGAAATCAGCAGATGGACCTCTGTTTTCAGGTTGATGCACAATTTTCAAACATGCACACACAGACCACTAAGCCCTTCACTGAGAGCACAGGTGTTGAAATCATGCAAGTCCTTAAGGGTTTCTTCTTGATAAAGTATTCAGCTGCTCTTAACACAGAAAGAGTTTAGCCTGAACCTAAAATTCTGATCTCTTATGTTCTTTGACATGGCAAAAGTCTTTTTTTATCTAATTTTGCACACAGTTCTTTTTTAATTAAAAAAAGTATTTTACAACCTCTAATTGTGCACTTGACATTTTAATAAAAAACTTTTTTTGGCTTGTATATATGTCTAATCTGTACAAATGAAGCCTTTGTAAACTTTATATGCAGGCATATTTTACACAGTGCAGAAATAATTAGGAATGTAAAATGGATTATCTGAGGAAAAAAATGCTGTAACTTTGTAAAAATATATGTGTGGGATGTTAAATGCTTTGTCTCTGATACTTATCTTGTATGCTTTTTTTGTATGCACCCAGGTATTTAAATTTTAAAAGGCTTACAAGAGTAGGCATTTTCAAACTTTGATCATGCTGCTTAGTCAGAAAATGAGAAATGTAGTTAATGTCTCTCCTGTGCTACTACTTTATATTTTTCTACTTCCTGCTCTACCCACCTTGCTTGGTGTTTGACAGTCTTTTATGCAGGAGAAGGAGTTGTGATCTCTTGTAAGACCCAGGACCTTGTCTGCTTTAAACGAGGATCACTCAGGGATGATAGTTTGAGATTGGTCTCTCTCTGAACTAAAGTAACCCAGCACCACAACTGTCACTCTTAGCAGAGAAATCAGGTGATAAATGTGCTCTTACTTAAATAACTGATGTCTTTTAGCAACTTCTGGTCTCCCTGCCTGCCCTGAGACTGGGCTTCAGGCTGAGGGTTAGATCACTATATCTTTCCATGGCAATTACACTCATCATTTCTACTGAAGAAAGGGGGAAGGAAGTAAAGAGATTCGTGTGGCTAAAAGTTGTGAAGTGGATAGGTTCTCTGGCATGTTAAAAATAAATACTGTAGAACTGAGGGCTGCAAGCACTTTGAGTGTACGTGGTGCTTAGTCCTCCTCTATTTAGTTCCCATGAGCCCAAATCCACAACAGTGCCTTGCTATCTCTGAGAGGAAGTAAAGCGGAAGAAAGAAAAACAAAACAAGGATGGTGGAGTGGCAAAGTAGGAAAACTGTTCTAGACAAGTGATAGTCTCTCCCTTTCATGCTTCCCTTATTATTTTTCACTTCTCTTTCCAGTGTGCCACCCTCCCCCAGTCACTACAGCCCTAGTAATCTAGACTTACATTTTCTCCTGGCAAACAATCCCACTCTGAAGTATTTGACAGAGCTTTTTTTTTAAATCACTGTTCTGTAAGCATGACTACATCAAATGTTATTTTTTGATGCAAAATATTTTTAAATGGTATTTCTAACTCTTCTTTCTGAGAAAATAGTTTTGCCTTTCATTTTGTAGCATGCATAACAATTTATAATCATTAGCCTATGTAAGCCACTGGGGAAGTGATGGTGGAATAGAGTTTTCACGTATTAACTGTGCAAATACAGACAGGGAGCGAATGGATGGGAAGCAGGAGGCCAGAAAAGGTTTGCAAAAATAAATCACAAACTGAATGTAAGAATAATTAGATGCTTTTGAAAAACAAAGGCATACTTTATGTTGGGTTACACACATGGGCCTTTAGTTTGGGATGTGTTCCAGGTGTTCTATACAGTGCTGGTAAAACTTGAGCAAAAAGTTATAGCCAAAAATTGGCACAAAAATTGCAAAACATGTATCAACTGCAGAGTGAACAGAGGGATTGTGAAAACTGCTCTCAGAGGCCTGCTGAAGGCATTGGGATTGCTTCATTTGGTGAAAAGGAGACCGAGGAGAGGTATGAGAACAGTATATTAAAAATATGGCTATGAAGAGAGAAGGAATAAATTCTTCCCCTTGTGAATGGGACCAGGAAAAAAGGGATGGAGTTACAGGTGTAGATTAAGGGATCAGAACAAACCTTCTTATAGCAACAGTAGTTAAATACTGATCTGAACTGCCTGGGGAGGCTGGTCAGTCTCCACCCTGGTAATCTTCTGGGGCTGGTTGGCCAAGCACTCATTAGAGATGGCACTGGTAGAGCTGGTCCCACTGTCAGATGCAGACATGGACAAGATCTTCTCTTCAGATCCCCTCCAGCCTTGTTTCTGGTGATTCTGCTTTCTCCTTAGGACCCTGGTCTCAGATGTTAGCAAGTTAACTGTACATCACAATATATACAATCTGAGTTGGGGATTGTGTTATGTTTCATGAGCTCTCTCATATTTGGGAGTCTTTAGGCTCTATTTTCAAACTGAATCCTTTACTCTGTTTTTCAAATAACTGTTTTAATTGATTACAACATTAAATTCATTTAACCTAAAGCTAAGGAAAATACTATTCCCTCATTATAATGGGTGCAGGTTTTAGAAAACGGGTAAACTAGAAGTAAGGTGATTTCTACACAGGGGGGAACTGTGTGTATATTCTGTTTTCTTTTTGCAAAATTAGCAAAACTGTGAGGTTTCCCAACTATCTCTGAATATCTCCATTACTTCAGTTAGGTGGGTTCTCAGCTGGAGGCAATTTTATTTATTTAAGAAGGAAAACCTGAAACTCCATCAGTAAAGATGAAAGTCCAATTCCACAACGTAACTTTCTCTGAGATTAAGAGTATTGATTGAACTTGAGATGTGAATCTATTGCTTGTTTGTTTGGATGTGTAAAGAAGATGTAATATGAAGGTAATAACTGAAATTAATCTGAAAAAATATGTGAAAATATATATTGTACTTTCATAAAGACTCTATTTAAAATTATTGTGTTACATGGAGAAAGTTTTTCTTTCCTTTTTTTTTTTCCATGCTTCCACCTCTCTCTCTCCTGTTCTGCTTCTTCTGGGGTCACCTCTGACCTTTTGGGAACTGTGAGGGCATAGACCTGGGTTGTGCCCCTCCCCAGGGGAGTGGAGCAGGCTGGAGAGGAGGGAAGGGGACTGAAGGTACAGTGAGAAGACCCAAAGCACTGCCCCTCCTGTGTGAGTGCCACCATGCTGCCCTAGAAGAGAGGACAAGAGGCTGGCACAGTCCTGTCCCCAGCATCTCCTATCCAGCCCCTGTCCCTCTCCACTTCCATGCTCAGGTAAGGACCTGGGTATTTGCTGGGCTTACCACTGCCTTACAGCAACTGGTTAGGTCAGTGTGTGCTCAGACAGGCATATTCAGCTCATGGACCTGCACAAACTCCTTCTTTTGTTGGTGTTGTTTTATTAAATCACTTGAACAGAGATGCAAACAACTGCTCTTCCCTGCATCCTTGCTTAGAAAAGGAGACCGGTGATCCTTTTACACACCATAAGTCAAAGATGGGCTACTCGACAAACAAGCCTG